ACTGTGCTAGCACTCTTATCTATTTGAAATATATGAAAGAATCTACAAGAAAAAGAAAAGCTTTCAAATATCCAGAATAAATATTACCAAATTCATTTTTACCATCTTAAATGAGCATTAAATAAGTAAAGGCAAAACCTAAGATCATTACATCTAGGAATTATTTTACAATATGACACAGGAATTAAGTATAGCATCAATAAACTTTGACCAAGTGAAACAAGCCTTTTTAGATAATAAACTTGTATTTTTTTTTAATCCAAACTCAAGCAGCCTAAACCCCTCTTCTTGCCATAGAGAGAACCCATTCTCAGATAACAAAGAGCCTAAGCAAAGTAATTTTGCAGAGTATACTTTGAAGGAAGGAAAGAAAATCCTTCAAATTTCAGCATTTCTATTTATGAATGCAGTAGGCAATAGAAACATGAATAGCATTTTAAAAAGTGCAATAAATGAAAGCCGTTCATAATTGTGTTCTATAGGGAATTACAAACAAAGAATTTGAGAGGTCTCTGGAGTTACACTTTCCACACAGATGCAAGGTCGTGACTTATCTGACACAGAATTATTGGGCCCCTCTGGCATGGACAAGCATGAATCACAGAAGAGATTCAGCAAAATGTGTAAAATCAGACATGAATTAGCAAGAACACCAGCAAGCACAAGAGAGCAATATTACTAAAAATATTACTAAAGAGAACACATTACTATAGGACTCACTGTCACCTGAGAGAGCAGAGATGGGAGATATCAACCTATTATAGCCTTATCAGGACATTGTTTGTACTGTGAGATAATAACATTGTGCCTAAGAAAACCAGTTAGTAAGTCATTCACATTTGATCCTATGTATTAAATTAGTCATTCGTACCAAGTTATTTATGTTATCTTTAGAAAGCACCAAGTAAAAAGCACTGTTCAGATATTGTTAGAAAGAGGTTTTATATAGCAATTGCAGGTACAACTTACTTGCTCAAAATGATGGAGGCTCACAAATTGCGGAAAAGATAATTTAATAATTTTTTCTTCAAAATTAATAAACATAAATTACAATTAGAAATGCAAAGAAAAGTTAAATTAAAAACCTATAAAGATGGCCCTGGTAAAGTTAAAATAAGCACATTTTGGAAGTTAAAAAACATGCATTTTTAAAGCCTAAACTTCCAGAACCCACCTTGTTAGGTCAATATTTGCAACTTAAATCAGATGAAATTATAAAGTAATACTTGGGGTTTGGCTGCAACAGAGTGTGGGTGTTACCTGGACTGTAATGCTAGCAAAAAAGCAAACACACATGGTGAGCTCAATGTTTTCTCAACTTTCTGCCATGGGGAACTTTCAGGGATCCACATGTCACAAGGAGATGGAGCCAAAGGAAAGCACAGCAGTGTTGCTGAGTTGGGTGGCAGAGATTAAAGTTGAGGGCTGAGATTGCAACTGGAATTTACAGGGCAGATTAGCAAAGAGAAGAGCACTATTCAGACAAGAGTCCTCAGAATGCTGAATGGAGAAACTTCAGTGGATCGTTGGCCCAGAGCTGGCCTATAAATATGCAGAGCCAGTACCTTCTAGAACTCACAGGAAATACCACCATGCTTGCCGACTGTGTTTTTGAGTACAAAGGAAATACATTAGAATTCAGCAACTAAAAACAAGAAACACAAATATTTGGAAATCAAACAACACACTTTCAAATGCCACATAGGTTGAAAAAGAAATCACAAAAGACATTAAAATATTTGAAACAATCATAATAAAAACACAGCAAATAAAAAAATTATTCACAACTAAGGCAGTGCTGGGGGAAATTTTACAACTTTATAAAAGTAGAAGACTAAGAAAGAGTGGTTCATGTTGCCACCTTCAAAAGTTGGAAAAAGAAGAGCAACATAAACCCAAAGTAAATAGAAGGAAGAAAATAATCAATATGAAAAACTACATCAATAAAATAGTATACAAACATTTTAGAAAGTAAGAAAGCCAAGAGTAGAATTTTTTAAAGAACACTAAATATTTCCAGAGTTTATATTATAAACCACACTTTCTGCCATGCGTTGATTACACAGATTAAGATAATGCAGCCCATCTGCTCCTGTCCCCGAGTTTACCATATTTGAGCTTTGAGTCATGTATTTCACAAAGTGATTTCAACATAATACATCTGAGAGTTCATCTGTCTAGCAGTGCCTAGAAAACAGTAGAAGCTCAGTAAATATGTGTTGAGTGGATGAATAAACTTTTTCCTTAACACATGGGGAGGGCCACAGAGAGGAAGGGTCTTTCCCTAAGGTCACTGACGTCTTACTTGGTACAGGCTGAATTCTTTTCTCCATGCCAGACACCATTCTCTGCCTTAGCCAGCTCAGAGTCTAGTCTCAACTCTCTTATGCCATTAGAGAACCTTAATAACTAGTTCTGTGTTTAGTAGCCAGCTCAGACTTTAGCCTCAACTCTCTTATGCCATTAGAGAATCTCAATAACTAGTTCTGTGTTCAAATTCCCCAGCAGCCCATCTTGGAAAGGCATTTCCTCAGCATTCCTGTTTGTGTAGTTCCAGCTTGCCAGCCAGGGAGCCCACTGAGAGGTGAGCCAGGAGAGAGTGAGTGAGCACAGAGGCTCACAGTGCAATTTGCAGCTCCACTTAGCACAGGGGAGCTGATCTGTGTTGACTCATGCCAGCAAAAGCCACCTTTTCAAGCTCTGTTACCTCCCCAGCATAAGTTCCTGTTGCCTGATTGCATCTGGTGAGTCAAATTTTTGTGGGGCAGAGCCCAAGTATAATTGAGACAATGGGACTATTTCCCACTAGTGGAGAACTAAGCCTTTGCGATGGAAAACATGGAGGGAAAAACTAATCAGTATTGCCATAAGACAGTTCAGATTAAGAGTAAGACACACTCAAATTTCAGCAACTCAAAAGGGAGGCAGAAACAGCTACAGCTACTGGGGAAATGGGAGGATGCCTAGGAAGGAAGTGGTTATAGGCACTGGTATTTGAAAAGACACAGCGTGTCTATCTCCTGAAGAAATAAAACTAAAAGAAATTACTTATATAGCATGCACTGTATGTCGGGAACTATTGTAAACACTTTATAAAATAAATATAAATTATTTAATCTTCACAGCAACCATACAACATAAATACTGTGATAACCCCCACTTTACAGATGGCAAAACTAAGTCAGAGAGAGGTTAAGTAAGTCACTTAAATTCACAGAGCTAGTAAGTGGTAGACTCCGTGCAGTCTGGTTCCAAAGTCAATGCTTTTACCAATCCCTCAACCCCATACTACATGAAGAATTGATTGTACTATGAACATGGGCTCCTAATTAGATAGGTAGACAAGCCCTGGAATTCTCTAGAGTTCAAAAACCTGCAAAATAGTAAGCACTCTGAAGCTCAAGCTTTACAGACAGCTAAGCAATGATAAGACCAGCTGTGTCTACACCTTCCTTCTCCATTCATTTGCTCGTAGTCATTGGATCCATTAGAGTTTGTAGATATGGACTGAGTTTGTCCTCTGATAGTTTAAAAGTGAATCACAAAGTTTGATTTTCCAACTACCATAGTCTAGTTTCATACAGAGTGCAGACTATCTGAGATTCAGAGAGGGCAAGTGAATGTTTAGAGAGTAGTTGTCTGTGAGTAGATAACTTGATCTGTGTGGGCCATGCTGTGTTGTTTCTGCTCTTAGGGAGATTCCAGTCTAAAAGAAAAGACCAATATTAATCACCTAATCCATTAGTGAATGCTACCTGCAAAGCAAGTGAGGTGCGCTGAAGGAAAGGAAGACAGGTCAATATGAGGGACTCACAAAGGAAGCTGATCTGGCCCTGGAGCAGCAGAAGGGCTTGGCTTGAGAAACAGATGCTTGGGTTGAGAGCTGAACGATGAAAAGGCTTTTTTTTTTAAGGTGGCACAAGAAAGATGAGAAGATAATTCTAGGCGGAATAAATGGCACTTGCAAAGGCAAGAGAGAGCAGGCTCTGAAGCCTCCTGGTACGGCCAACCCCCAGGCAGGGAGCAGGGTATGGAATAAGTTGAGGCTGGAGTGGGAAAGAGAGGCAGGCCATGCAGCAACTGACAGAGTCACGATCTCTGTGCAAAGAGCACTGGGGAGCCATGGAAGGACATAGGCAGAGCAGTGGCATGAAGCAAGAAACACCCAATGTATCCAACAAGTGACTAGACTAATACTCAAACTCAGATCCTTTGCCCTTCTTCCCCCCAATCTCCAACCTCACTGCATTTCACCAGCCCAGGAAGTTCAGCCAGTAGAGGTCCTCACCAAGCCACGCAGATCACAGAACCTCAGGGTTGGCAGGGACTTGGCTGACTTGGAGACACATCCACTGGCTAAGCACTCCCTTGTCCTCTCTGAATCCCAGCCCATCTCCAGTCTGTGTGAAACTAGATACCTGGACTCAGCACATGCTTAACAGCTGGGTCATCTCTAACAAATTAAATCACTTCTATGAGCCTTCCTTTCTGCACCTGCACTATGGGCGTGCCAGTGTCAATTGATTATTAAGATAATGTAGGTGACATTTTCAGCACCATAGACAATCTTTAGTAGATGCCCAAAGAGTGACAATTTAATCCGAATTCAACCATTCATCTTGAGCTATATCTTTCTCCCAACTCAGCTGTGACAGTTCTAAGACATCATCCTGCTTATCAGACAGAGCTTATTATTAAATAATTCTATTCGTCCACTAAATAATTATGCAGGTTATAGCAGCCCATAGCTAAAGCAGAAATTGTAAAAAATCATAAACTTACCCACAGTGGAGAAATGAGAAACTGAAGAAATGTCATCTTTCTGGTATAATTTTCCATGTTTTATTCCTTGAAAATTAGCCAGCGTAAGTTTGCATGGTGTTCAAAAAATTTATGTCACCTCACCAAAGGACAATGAGTTAAATATTTCCATTGAAAATAAACATTTGAAAACAGTATCTATTTGTATATTTATTCATCTATTCAATTTACAATTTCAGGCTCATTCCATGCTAAGCATTCTGAATCAAAAAGATGAACAAAATACAGTGCCATTCTTCAAGGACTTCACAGTCTACAGGAAAGGAAGATATTTAAACAAGTAATTGCAGAATTGGAAATTGGAACTGATGTACTTAGAAGGGTTTTGAACAACGGACACGGCTGTGACTCTCTCTGCTTTTGCAAACTTTAGCAAAACCACCGGTGAGTTCCACCTGAGGCTGATCTGAAGCTTGTGTTCTGAATTTGCCAACTAAGATAAGAAGGAAACATTGATAGCAGAAAGAATGGCTGTGCAAGGAAGTGAAGATCCAAGAAGGATGTGTTTTCTCAGAAACCTAGAAAGGCAACTCCTTCTCAACCTCCAGGGACATCAGAATAGACACTCAGTGATGGGTCCTGAGCATTTTCACATCCAAGGAAAGTTCTAAATTACTGGAATTAGATATGTTAAATCAAGACTGTCATGACAACCTGACTTCAAGAGTTATTTGCTGAAAGTGCAAAGCAGAGGAAAAGACCATTTTGTGTGTGCATCACCCTTGTGATCTCACAAGTACAGTGCTTCATGACATATGGAAACCTGCTGAGTAATTGAATAGCCTGGGGATAATTGCATCTGACTATGTTATTCTAAAGTGATGGGTTGAGATGTGCAGTGGATAGGAGAAAACAGGTTTCTAGAATTGCAATGGATGACTGTTTGCTCTGACCTTTATTGAATTTAAACATGGGGAACAGGATGCAGCAGGGCGCAAGTTGTCGGCCAGCATATGAGGAGTGGGGTAGACTTATTTGTTAGTCTGGCTTACAAAGGTGTCTTGCATTCATTTGAGAACAAATTCAACAGCTGTGATTCTGCCTTTTCCTCCAAGTAAAGGCTTATCTTCTTCCGAAGCTAAATGCATCTGCACACCCGTCCAGCTCAGCATCATTATTTGTATGGAACTTTTATATAATTCCTTCTAAAAAACACAAATATTCTCATTTGCTCCTCACAATTGTAAAATATTGTTATCCTCATCCAACCTTCATTTTGCAGATGAAGAAATCAGAGCCCAGAGAAGCTGAGTAGCCTACTGGTTGCAAGTTGTGGAATCATGACTTCTGTCCGTGTCATTCTACTTGCAAATCCAGTGTCCTGCAGACTGCTCTCACGTTTTAGTTTGGAGAGGCCTGGGAGAACCGCTTGTTCCTTTAGGTAGACACACACATCCTGAGGTGGCTCAGGCTGATAAGAGCAAATATTAAGAAAATGGAGATGGTTAGAGTGAAGCCCTAACTTCCCACAGCAGATGGGGTCTATGAGGAGGAAAAAGTGGATGCCTGGACCAGTCCTGTTATGAAGACAAGTCTCACGGTGCTACTGTGCCTCCATGAGCTCCTGTGGCCCAGAAGCTGGCATCCTGTGAGTGGGTAGGCTGACGATTATGCCAACTAACTCAGCAGGGATTTACATTGTCATTGAGGTCCATTCACACATTAGTACAGCTCCATAGATTGTAGGACATTTTCCAGGCTGGGGCAAATAAGTTATTGCTTTCAGTAAATCCTCTCCCTCCTTCCCTTCCTTCTACTTCAGATTTGGGATGATGGAGTGGGCTGAGTTTTAAGACTATTCTGTCGGTTGATAATATTCTCTGGGTGACCATATCTGCAGAAATCTCTTGCAGTATTGAAGTCCAAATCCAACACAACGCTGTCACCAATCCATAAGCTCCATTCACCTCCATATCCCTAGTGAGTACATCATAACATCAGAAATACACAAAAAAATACTTGCAGAAATATTTTGTGAAGTCCAAAAAATATATATCAGGTTTTATTGCATGGTGTTGTGTTTACAAGCAACTACTTGACTTGCAAAATCTGCTTGACATGAAGTGTGTTATAATGGCTTTCTGCTGCTACTCCTCTGAAGTCCTGAGCAATTCCACCATCCAGGGGAAACAGCTAATATCTATCTGCCTGTTCTAAAACATTGCATGCAAGACATACACACATAATCTCCTTGCATCTTCTAATATTTAGCAAACTATTAAATGTTGAACAATTTAACAATCTATTGAGTGACTTTTCATTTGCTATCAAAGTAGACAGATACATGGTCCTAGGGAATGCACAAGGGCATTAGTGGTATATTAGGGGTATATATATTACAATCTCTTGGCATGTTAGTCAGGCAAGTTATTTATCTCTGAGGTTCTATATTTTCACCTGCAAAGTGAAAATGATAATTGTCATTGAGTTGCAAAAAAAGAAATTATAATGAAGTCATGAGGGGTCATGTTTCCTGAGTTAGAAACCGTCTTTCACCACTGTAGTGGACACTGTAGTGCTCCACTCCAATTCCAGAACTAAGAAACTCCTGCCCGTGGCTGCTGCGAGTATGGATTGTTGACATTTCACAGCCAAGTTTCTTCTCAGGAAATACCCTCTCTTGGCCAAAAAGAGCTGCTTTGTCTAATGCTACACCCTTGTCCTGGGGGCAGTCTACCAGGCTTCAAAGTCTTGGCATTCTTTCTTCAATTCAGCCCTGAAGGGTTATTCCAACTCCATAAGTGCCTGGGAAGTCACCTGCAACCACTATGACCCAGTCCTGCTTCTCTAACCCCCTGACAGGTGCTGCTCCGGAAAACACCCCCAGTAAACTTTACACAAATAAATTTCAAAGTCAGAATCGGCTTCCCGGAGTCCTGGTAGTTCTATGAAATTCACTGCTTATTGAGTATAGAGATCACACAGATAGAGACACGTGGTGGAATTGGAATTGAACTTCTGATAAGAGCCCTGTGATTTCAAGTCCAGGTCTCCTGTTAGTCTCCATCATTCTACTTCATTAATGAAATAGGTTGGAAGAAGTCACAGCACAATAGATCCATATATTTCAGCCCATTAATAATCAACATATTCTAGTCTTAGGCAATTATTTTTAAAAAGTTGTATACACCATTGTGATCAGTGTGATCTAGCCAGGGTTTTCTACTACAGTGGGGCAGCCTGGAACTCAGTCAAATATACTTGTCTTTCTCAAGTCTTTATGAGATTCATTTTTATATTTTTACAATCACATTTTGAACTGACACAGAGTGCAATTTTGGAGAGGTGAGCCTACAAATGAGCAAAGGTCACTGCCATTCATTCCTTCATTCATTTTGTTTTTATCCAGCCAACCAGCCACCATGTATTGTGTGCTTTCCACATGCCACGACACATTCTGAGAACTTTCCATACGTGCTCTTCTTTCATCTTCACATCAACAACATGAAGCCTAAGCTGTGATGAATTTTGTCCAAACTGACTCAGATAAGAAGAGGCCAAATAAGAAATACATTCCAGTTGTCGCCAAAGTTCATGCTTTTCTAAGTATCACATTATATTTTCCTTCCCACTGGCACACAGCTTAAATAAAAGTCAAACTATGAGAAGCATCAGGAAGTAAAATCAGTGTACAGGTGAGAGGATGCACTTACATACATGATCTCTCAAGACTTCCTGGAGAAGGCACGACTCGGCTTTTGCAGTGACCAAGACTCATTTCCAAGTAGAAAGCTCTGTAATTTTGCTTGAGAGATAGAGTGGAAAGGGCCCAGGCTTCAGAGTGTGACTGGCTTGAATTTGACCTCTATCTTCATCTATTACTACCTATGTGGCTCTGGACATCTTACTTAACCTCTCTGAATCTTCACTTTGTCATGCTGAGAGACCTCATTGACTTGTTATAAAGATTAATCATAAAACACATCTAGCCCAATAACTGATACTATAGTAGACATTTAACAAGTGATGTTTTATTTGAGCTAATTCAAGTCTCTAGGTTATAAGAAAATGTCAAAAAAATAATCAGCTTCTCCAGTCTGTGCCTTTGAGAAGGACAAGCCAAAGGAGGACTTTGCTGCTGTGCTCATATCTCATATTGTACCATTTGTCATAAAAATTACATGTTCACATAAGCGCACACACACACACACGGACCCAAACACTCAGACAGGAGCCACAGTCTACAGTGAAGGATCGCTTAGAGTGCTTAGGCACCATAATAAACTTTCACATAAAGTACAGCAGTAGTGTTCTTAATTAAAATCTCTAAAGAACTCTCGTTGTTGACCATATCACCAACCAAAGCCATATTTACCTTGTTAATTATTCAAGTTGTGGTGAATAAGAAACAATGCCCAGGCTTCTCATAAAATTTCCAAAAATTAAACCAGGGAAATGGGCAATAAATGTCATTTGAAATGGTACTGATGCCAGTTAATTACAAGACAACTGTAAAATAATAGGCCATGAGGTGCTTCAACAATGCCTAATTAGTAACTATATGGGCATTTCCTTCGAGAAAATGGCAATTACATGGTACAAACACTTAGCAGTCATCATCAAAGGCCCTTAACCAATATTAGCTAATTAATCTTCCCTACAACACTCTGGCAGGAGGCAGCACAAGTCCTCATTGAGAGAGGGAGAAGGGAAGGCCAAAAGATGAATGGAAAATCCTCTTCTGCTCAGCATCTCTAAAGAACAATTTGATACCCACAGCCTAGAAGCACTCAAGAGGAATTCCCAGGCCAAGAGAAGCAGATTGTTTTCTTAATGAGTGACTTGCCAGGTGATATATAAGGTTAATGTGATGAACTCCTGGCTTCCTCCTGATTTCCTGCTGTGGCTTACATCCTGGCTGTCCTTGAGCACTCCCCATGCCGAACTGCTGTTGCAGGCACAGATGCACTCTTGCATTTATTAGCCCTTTTCTCTTTATCTCAACAAGCAGGCTTTTGATCTCAAATATATAAAACCACTGCGGGGAGAGGGAAGCTATGCCTCTTTCCACAAAGCCACACTCGTTATATTATAATATGATTCACAGTTTTTGATTTTAACTTAATATATGAGATCTGAAATTATTTTAGAAGTATGATTGATTTTGATTAGGTAAAGGTGTTTTTAAAGGAGTGAATTATCTCTTACGTGACTTAATCTAACCTACATTAAAAATTTCTGACAAAATCCCATTTGTGTCTAATTTTGTATTCTTTTACCTAAAGAGGGTCCAAAATTTGTATAAGTTCCAGACCCAAGACAACCTAAGTCTGCACATCTATCTGGTTGAGTTCTTCCAGCTCTGAGTCAGGGGCCACATTTTGTGAGATTCTGAGGCTCTGATGCCCATTTAAGGTAGATTTAATTTCATAAAGCAAAGTTAGGTTACATCATAAAATGAGGTTTGACAAGTTTTTCTCCACCTAACTCCTTTTGTCTTATGATACATCTGATTCTTCCCATTTAAAAAGTTACAAGTTTTAATGAGGAAATGGAGAAGGAAGGGGAGAATGAAAAGAAAGAGATGGAGGAAGAAGAGAAAGGAGAAGGGCAAGATGAGAAGGAGTAGGGATAAGTGAGGGCAGCATGTGTTAGGCACCAAGTTCAGTGTTTTATGTGTGTTATATCCTTTCCTCTTTACAGCAACACTATAAAGGGGTATAATTACTCTCTCCACCCCATTTTATAGATGTTGAAACTAGGACATGCAAAGGTTAAGTGGCCTGCAAATAAGGGATTTTATTAGCTAGTTTCATAGCTAACAAAATGGTGAGCCTTGCCCAGAACCCATTTCCATTTTATCCTAAATTTTTTGTTCTTTCAATAACGCTGTTTTAGGGTGAGCTTCCTTATCACCTCTAATCTGCCTCTGAACTCATAGCTAATCAATATCCAGAAGGCATGCATAACAAACATTTGGAATGATAATATCCTAATAAAGCGCTGGATGAGCCGAGATCCAGTGGCAGGTCAAATCCAAATACAAGCGTTAAAGTAACACACACACTTCTCAGAAAAGGAGTCACGACTTGTTCCTTCAGTATCCCAAAAATGTTTTTGCTCCTTCAGTGTCCTTCTCCTCTTTCATTTTGGGGGATACTTATTTCTTCAGTCCCTTCACAATAGAAGAAGATCGCATAACATTCAGAGAATAAGTTTTACAGTCTGATAAGCCCAGATCCAAAAATCCTAGACTCTATGTGTTATCTGTAAAATGGGCAGAATAATAGCACCTACATTGTGAGGCTAATGTGAGGGATACATGAACAAATGCTTAGGACCTGACATATAGAAAGCATGCAACAATTGTTAGCTATGTTTTAAAAATATTTTACCCTATTAATGATCGCTCCATTACTGAGAGTATACTGTAGTAACCAACTGTGTTGGCTTTGGAGTCACACAAATTAATTTAAATCTTGTATCATCTAGGTACTCTCCGTGTAACCATGGGAAGGAGGGCTGCTTGGCCTCTGTATGCCTCAGTTTCCTTGTTAGTTAAAAGGGTATAGTGATAGCATCTACCTGATATTTTTAAGAGGGTTGGTTGTAGGGATTGAATCAGTCTGTGTATGAAACCCTGGCACCTAGCCAATAACAAAAATTTGATAAATGTTAGCTATGAATATATTTTGGGTAGGCATGCCTTACACACAGAAGGGACTCGGTCCATGTTTGAACCATTATAATTAGCAAAATTAATTTGACATTCACTCAACAAACATTTGTTGTATACTTACTCTATAGCAGACAGTGTCCTATGAGGTAGGGATTCAGAGAAAAATAAACACAGTCTCTACCCTCAGCTGAGAAAATAGTGTCTTCTGGCACAGACAGTGTAATCAGAACTATTAGATACATGTGGAGGAGAACTATTCTTTTTAGGGCATCCAGGAATGTTGAATAAATAAAGTGTTTTATAGTTTCACAAAATTTCAGGAAAATACATTTTATCCAACTTCCTACACATCATTAGAGTTTATTTAATCTCAACTCTTACTTCAATAAGGACGAAAGATGAATGAATGATGTCTCCACTTCCCTGAAGTGATAACCTGTTCCTAAACATCTCTACAGACAGGACTTATGATAAAGCAGCTGTTTCCACTGCTCAGTAATTCTAAAGTCCCTCCAGTTATTGATTATACTAAAACCTGGTCCCCTCAACATGTCCACTCTTGGTGATTTTCCTTCCTCTAGTGCTGGGTGTAGAGAATCTAACCCCTCTTCTACCCAATAGGCCTTTCTCATATGCCCACTCACACTTCTGAGTCATCATTTCTTTAAGTTAAACTTCCAGATGTCACATGATGAAAGCCTAATAGACACAAGCATCTCTTCCTAAAGGTGAGCTTCCAGATCATAGGAGTGATAACTAGGCACAAGCTATGAGTACTTGGCACCCAAAGCTCATAGTTTCAGAATCTTCTCCTCCTCAGGCTTCATATGAGCCCTACCCATGCGTTAGTTTGGGCCAAATCTGCCAGAGTCCCCTCTCCTAAGTCCTAACTGTTGGCCTAAGCAGTGATCAGTCTCAGCCCCGCGATAAAAGACTGCTTTCAGGTCTGTCTTTGAGGCCGTCAAAGACTTACTAACTAGAAAAATGATGAATGAAAGGATTTCAGGACCCAAAACAGGGCCAGCTGGAGTCCTCAAAGCATTCCCTAATGGCATAAGGCCAAGGCCATTCTCTTCTAACTCATGGGTCCTCTTTTGAAGAAAATTTCTCAGATCACTCCTAAATTCCCAGGACTGCTGCATCCTACTGCTGATGGGGCTTATATGGTGGACTTCCACATTCTTAATAGAATGTTCTTGAACACTTCTGAAAACAGGGAGTGTGTGAAGCAACTGCTTCTTCTGCTCGATTCTAATGTTCTTCCATCTCAGGATAGCCTGGAATCTTCCCCCTTGTTACTTCCACCTCTGGTCATTTTCCTTCTCTCTGGAGCTGGACAGAACAAGTATAACAAATAGATGTTTGCATATTTGACTTTATTGTGCTTCCATTTGCGTTTCTGGGTTGCTGCTGCTTCAGCTGAAATCTTCACAGCTCCTCAGTTGTTCTGTAAAATGATGTTCACATCTGTCATCATATGAATGTTTTCTGCTGGATATATTCCAATTGATTCATGCTTCTCTTAGGCGATGGCACCTAAATCTGAAAGTCCTAATAAAGCTGAGCATTTAGGGAAAGGATAGACAATTCCACAGTGATGTGGTAGGATATTTGGTAAGAGTCATCTGTATAATAGGTCATAGGTCATCTAGAAGTCAACCACTGACTGGATTATCTGCTGTTATGGGAACATAAAACCTACAAGCTACCCAGGAATATCTTCCTATGCATACTGACCCTGAAGGGTGCTCAAATCGTTTTGGTTCTCCACACAGGGAAGGTATTCACCCACACTTGACTCCCTCAAGAGTCAACCCTCCAAATCGGCTATACGGTTAATTCTTAAAACATGTTCATGATCAACTATCTCATGTGCCAGTCCTAATCCAGATGGTATTTGGCTTAACCCTCTATTAGCTGAAAGAATAGAGATCTCTGAAAAAAATGAGACCCGTAGGGCTTCTTTACATACATTTGAACTAACTTTCATTCCCCTAATTAATGCTCTCTATGATTAACAGAAGCTGATGACAACTAGATCTGTTGATAGAACTAAATATTTTTCAGTTTTCTCTTCATAAAAATAGACATCCAGAGCAATTTTAGAGATCATCATTTTGGTGAAAGTTAGGAGAGCATATAGGAAGAATATATACATTAAGACTGGACCAGAAAAAGCCTTTAATTAGATGGAGGAAGTGTCTTAGAAAATGTGTAGACAGAAATGATCTCACTGTCTCAGAAATAAAATCTCCAAGACAAATGCACAAACATACCCTGAGACAAACACCTTCACGTCTGCATTCAAAATCAACCACCCTTTTCTGAGCCCTATATCTAGCATAAATGAGGCAGTAAGCACTTACCACAGAGTCTCTAGACTTGGATATGGTGACTTATTCTGCTTCATATTGGCAAAGCATGTTAGGCTCCTCTCTGAACTTCTGATAATGATATCTGGCTGCTTGCAAATCTCAAGAATTATTGAATTATATAGCTTCAAGTTATATAAGTTGGTTAAAATGTTTTGTGTTACTGTGAAATGTTACAGAAAGGTAAAATACGAATAATACCACATTCTGCCTCATCTGATACTCAGTCATACACACCTCTCATCTCTGCCATTTCAGTATCTAGCATAGTACCTGTCATGTTCTAGGAGCTTGATAAATGTTTGCTGAATTGACTTACATTAAATTGAATTACTAACTTGCAAGGTCTTTGGGGGCAATTGTAGAATCTCATTTTATATCATCACCATTTCCTTGCTCAAAGCTGACATGAGGAAGTATGCAATAAATGGTGAGTGAATGAATGAATGGTTGGAGAGGAACTGAAAAGATGAGTCTCAACCCTGAATGCACTTTAGAATCACTTAGAGTGCTTTCAAAAATTAATCTCTGCGCCCCTGTCCCAGAGATTGATTTAAAAGTTTCCCAAGATATTCTAATATAAAGTCAAGGTTGAGAATCAATGACTTTGAATGACAGGAAAATACAAAGAAGAGTCCGCTCCTTCCTTTTTTTTTTTTTCTCACCAATGTAGGTTTTACATTTTTAAGTGAAATAAAGCATTCTGAAAGCTTTTTTTTTTTTCCTGAATAAAGCACTCTAAAATGAAAGAATGATGTTGCTACTACTTTTGAGAAAATACTGTCAAAAAGTGGTTTTCTAGACTGTTGGCTAGTGGAGCACCCAGTAGCTTCATCTTGGCAGACTCCTGACCATACTATCTCAGTATAACTAAGCTATGAAGGCCAGTTCAACCGCCAATGCCAGGACTCAGGACTTCCGCTGGCCTAATGTTCTGAGACGCTGCCACCTTGTGGCACTCTGCAGCGACACTTATTACATCAGCTGCCTTAAAACAGGTATATCTCAGATGGCCTTCGGTTTTCCTTGTTATGTATATTCTGATATATCTGGAAAATAAATATTTACAAGGAAAAAAGAGTTCTGGATGCTCCATGAAGAGAGTGCTATAGATGCAGACGTGAACAGCAGGTATGGTGTGGAGTTTACATAAGCAGGACTGACTTATCCCTGTTGAATAGCAAGTGACAGAGGCCAGGAGAGGACAAGGTACTTAAGGACAAAGAACTGGTTATGTCGAATCCACTTATAATGGAAGCCATCATCCTCAGCAAATTAACACAGGAATAGAAAACCAAACACCACATGTTCTCACTCATAAGTGGGAGCTGAACATTGAGAACACATGGACACAAGGAGGGGAACATCACACACAAGGGCCTCTCAGGGAGATTGGGGGAGAGAGCATCAGGAAAAATAGCTTACGCTTAATGTTTAGATGATGGGTTGAGAGGTGTAACAAGCCATCATGGCACACGTTTGCCTTTGTAACAAACCTGCACCTTCTGCATGTGTGCCCCAGAACTTAAAATAAAATATATGTTTTTGAAATCCACTTAGAAGTCTTTACTTCCATGGGAAAAAAAAAAAAAAAAAAAATATATATATATATATATATATATATATATATACATATATAAAAACAATAATACAGCTCTCATTCCCATTTTTTAGGTAGACAGCCAGAGGCCCCAGGAATTAATTATCTTAGTCAAAGCCACATGGCAAACTGCTAGATAAACTCAAAGTGAAAACCAATGTTTTAAACCAGTATCTTGAGAAAATAAAATTCCTTTCCATCCTAAGAGAAAAAATTCAGGAACAAACGTCAGATTTCAAGACTGGACTTATATGTGTGTGTATGGAAAACAAGATACCCAATACATGTATATACAAGCATATCCATTTTTAACTTGATAATGAGGATGAATTGGCTGAGAGAAATTTTTACATCATGAAAAATTGCACTTTGTGATAATGTTAAAGAAATACATTTTCTTCAAAGACACAAACTAATTTAGACAAATATCTTAATTTCTAAGTCTTGTCAGGTTGGCAATAATAAATAGATTAGACTCACTGGTAAAGGTACCTGGAATCTAAATATCATGTATGAATTACAT